TAAATGAGTGCGCAGAAACTGTTAGCGAATGTACACTCATTTAAACCAATGGACAGTCAGGACATACAAACACCAATCTAATCCAGTGTTATGAAACTGGGAGGGTACAATTTTTGCGGCGCATTAGTTGAGATGTGTTTCTCACCCTCAAATAACTTGTATTGATGATGTTGATGAAGGAGTACTTGTTTGGGATTTACTACATGCCCCAGCCTCAGCGTGTAAAACCAACGTGATTCCCGCTTGAGAACCACCAAGTTAGGTTTCTAACACTTCTTATCTTGCTGATCAAATGCAGCTAATCTACTGATTAAGGCTGGCATTGCGCGGTTATCCCTTTTAAATTAGGCTGCAAGTTTACTAGAGTGTAACAAGTATGTATTTAATTTTGTTTCATTGGGAGTTTAGCCTCCGTTAAATCCAGATCTTTTTTCATACTCGATTTTTCCGATATTCCGTATTAAGCAGTCGCTTTTGGTCAATTTCCTCGTTTTCTTATGTGCTTATTCTCTTTATCTAGTAAACGTTTTGTATTCAATACACTGAGTTGAGGCAAACGATTGTTTTCAATGGTTTGCCTACGCTCGGGCAAAAATCATATAAGTGTAAAATATTATTTTATGTTTGACGCTGCTTTACGACTGCTGTTTCAAAATTTCTCCATTAGCTTATGGGATTGTCGCCTGAATGTCTCCTTTGTGAACGACGGGAAGATAAATGTGAAAAGCTATTATGAATTATCAAGGCCTCCTGTATCATGGCTGGATTTGTTACCAGTGATGCCGTTTTGGATCACATTGTTCCAAACGCCGTTTTGAATGATGTATTGGATCGTGTTAATTCTACCGAACGTTCTCTGTCAACATCGCACATCGCCATTGCGAATGACCTTGAAACCTGCACCACTGATGAACTTTGTGATGCAGGCACTGCAACAGTTCCCGAAGCGACAAAGAAGGATGAACTTTTGCCCAGTTCTTCCGACAAACAGCCCTCGCTGGACGAGGTTACCCGAGCTTTGCTTCAACGCAAACAACCCTTGATGGAATTAGTGAGTTCGGAGGAAGGGTACGTTCGCCGTCTTCGCATGGTCAGAGACTATTATATGCCAATTATCTCCTCAGTAAAAGCGTCTTCTACCTCACACGGTGCGGAGAGTTCCGTCTTTTCCACGCAGCTTCCACCGTCGACTAATCCTCCAGGCGCACCTGGAGATCCTGCAGCGGCTCCCGTAAACCCACCTCCCATACCCGATGATTTGGCTGCACGTTGGCGAATCGTGTGGGGCAACTGGATTCAATTGTGTGAATGGCATTCCAGCTTTCTCGAGAAACTTAAACTTTTTGTTGATTCTGATCCCGATAAGATACCGAAATTGTTCATCGATTCCAGGGCGAGGTTGCGTTCTATTTATTCAAAATATTGTGAAAATCATCGGAAAGCTGCCCTGATAACAGAACAGTATCGTGACTATTTTGAGGAACTACGGGCCTACCTAAACGACAAGGAAGACGTCGTGTCCTATTTGATGCAACCGGTCCAACGAATCATGCGTTATCAGCTGCCCATGGCGGAGATTGTAAAGTACACGCAGCGGGCCTGCTGTCCTGAGCTCTCGTTGTGGAAGAAGGCGTTGGACATTATGAAAGAAATTCCGAAAGACACTCAACTCATTCTCGAGGTATGTTTTATATTTGTGCCGGTCTACATGTACTTCCTCTCGTTTTTTCTCGATCTATGCGCTGCCGTTTACATCCTCCATTCCAGCATGATGTCCGTGGACGTCCATGAAACGGAGCTCTCATTGCCTTCCGCGTCGCATTCTACTTTGTAATAGTGTCACCCACATCTTACGCCACTCCACTCCCTAGGCCGTCGCCATGTCAGTCTTTGCTGAGCTTCTTCGCAGTTACCCTCTTCTAACGTTTGCGTGCACTGAACTTCGGTATGGCCCGCGCACCGAGGGATGATTTAACCATTTACCTATTTACCAAATCGAGAGACATAATCCAGGACTATAGACATGCTACAACATTGACCACGCTTCTGCCATAATGTCAGCTGTTGGTGGTAGAATTGCGGATACTATAACATAATCAGTATTGACTATTCATCTTCAACAACTAGTCCAATGCGGTACCACTGATAATGTCGCCAAACATTAACTGGCGGATTTCAATACTTACGGGCTATCCGATTTTACTGCATATGAGCAATGCAGGCACCCTTGATCTAGCATGATCAGGCTTGAAATTTTCAGGACAGTATCTTTTATCTGATCAACCGTTTCGAATCCGTGTAAGGGACCGGGTGACCTCACGGTATACGCAGCCCACTCGCGACCAGTGGTGGTCTTGTGGCAACGAAGCGTCGATTCAGTGTGCCGGCGTACTGCTAATGCCTCTCTTCTCTAGTCAGACTGTATTGTTGCATTACAATTCTTTAACCAACTGCCTAATATTTCCCTCAATCACGTTCTTTAACATTCAAATTTGTGACCTCTTTCATTCTTCTGTCACCATCCCTATACTGCTTCAGAAAGACTACATCTTATTGGTACGGTCTATAAAGCACAGTTCTAGATGATGCGGCTTGTCTAGTTTCTTTAGTTGATTTGATCATCTCCGGATATTTTGATGCCTGCAATAAGTTTTCTTCCAAGGTACTAACTGATCGATTTCATCCACTTCACAGTGCTGTTTCAAAATCGCTCTCTTCTACACGTTCGAAATTCAGGATTTTATTCTCCCGCACCTCCTCGTATCGTAATGCTGTCTTGCCTCATCTATCACATTTGCTTGTTGACCCAACGAAAACCACTAAGATGCTACGCGAGCGATTGTTAAAGGGACAGTTGTGCATATTCTCCATTTCTTCCCCAAGTATCTATATGGATATTATCATCCAATTCGTCCGCAGCGGTGGTGTAAACGCTTGTTTTTGGCTTGGTGGGGGGCGTCGGACAGCCACGTAGGCTTTATCGATTGACGTGCTAACGTATTTCGCGATTTGCTCACAAGATCACACTCATTTGGTTGACCACTAATTACAACCTCACCGAAGTTCCAGCTTTTCGTTTCTTCTAGCTTCGGCGCTCAGCTCTGGTACCTCAACACTACACCACTCGACTGTAATCCTCGTTTGACTGAACTTTGGTTTGTTCGGAAAATGGTTAGATCTCTGCGCCGCCCATTGTTTTGGTCACAGCCCTTAACCAGCTTCTTCTCATACTCGATTTCACCGAGACCAACGCCATCTTTTGAAACAGTCACATATCTAATTGTGATCGTTTCCACCTGGAGAGGGTTCGTCCTAATTACTTGACCAGCGTCCATCACTGGAGCTTTACTTGGTACGATGGTTTGCGTACCCCAGTGACCCATTGAGCTATGTTGGGTGGCACTTTCTTAGTGCCTTCAGAGCCACTCATACCAGACAGGTCACTGTTTAGGGGGTCAGACTAAATCTCACAATCCAATCCTCCTCGGAGGTTAGGGAGAGGTCGACGGGCCTCTTCTTTTAAAACCTAGCCATGGGAGATAACAGGTCTACGGTTATAAGCTCACAGCTCGATTGGCGTAGAGGCCGCGCGCCACTCATTGTCTCTGGTGGTGGGAGTGTACCTTCGAGTGCTCAGTAGTTTGCTACCACCCGCCTCCAACTAGGCAGCCCTTGGTCCAATTGGTGCAAACCCACCAACTCTCACCTGCTGCTGGCCCTAGTCGCGGATGCATGCCATAATACGGTCGTAAACCCTATGTGCATTATTCCAAACATTCTAGGGCTGTGTGTGATTGGCCTCAATCAGATCCCATAGCGTCTCTGCAATGACACTCCCTGGCTGGATTGCACCCCCACTGCCTTGTGGGTCAGGCTATTGAACCAAACACTCCGGGTAGAATCTCCCAGCGAACCTCCATGTACTTCACTGCCTTGTGGGCCAGACTGTTGGATCAAAGGCTAGAAACAGAGCACTTCGAACAAAGCTGCCCTCTGTAAATAGGCAAGCGGAGAGTAGTAGTAGTAGTAGTAGTAGTCAGCAGTCCATCAAATAGACATAAAGCCAAACAAAACCATGGAAATCACTAAAAGAAGACAGGCTGAACACAGTATCAACAGCATGGCACGTTAACTGAATATGAGTGACACATTTCAGCTATTGTGCCGCTGTTACAATCTTCTTATTAGACACGATTCCATAATTGTCACTTTACTGCTCCACAAAACTTCTAACCTAACCGAAGGAACAAGCAGAACGCCAGTAACCTTGAAAACTGACGTATTAACCGCTGCCAACAAGCACTGTACAACTTCTGCGGACGTTGGTTGTATTTATAGGTCTCTTGCTGACCGACTTCTGGAATAGGAAGGTCAACAACAAGGTTAGTAATTTCCCCTAGTTTTGGCCGAGATGTCAGGTGGTTGGTAGTCACATGCAAAACAGCCAGACAGCCGCAATATAAAAAACAATGGAGCATTCTTTTGTTATTTTGCACACGCCATTTATGTATATTTTTTGTCGTTTTTAATCGTTAAACATTAAGTATCCTAATCTAAGCAGTTATATACACTGGTTTCGATTACGAGCCATATCCTGAATTGTTTCCAACCATCGATACTCCTCGTCCTTTGGTCCCCAACCAGGCAGGCTCGTGGACCCATCGGTGGGAAGACGTGAAGTCAACGATCGTTTGCTGTCGCCAGGTGGATGGTGGACCACCACGTGGTATCTTCCTGTTGAGTCCTACACGAGCAAACAGAGCGCGTTAGGGCAGCCGCTCAGCTGACATACGCAGGACATGACCGAGCCATCTTAGCTGACGCAGCGAAGCCAGCTTGTTGAAGGGAATACTCGCATTCCATGAAACACGACGTCTGACTTCACTGTTGCAAATGTGTTGTTGCCACCACGCACGAGCAATCTTCCTCAAGCACCCGTTGTCGAAGGCAGAGAGCCGGTTCATATCGTCTTATAGGACTGGCCATGACTCGCTTCCATAAAGCAACACCGCCCCAACGATGGCATAGTAAACGCGACCCTTTACCAAGAGGGAGATATCTCGGTGACGCCGCGTGCTGCAGGTTGATAAACGCCGACCAAGCTTTGGCGATGCGAAGAGAAACTTCCCTTCTAATGGTACCACTAGCGCAAACAGTTGCCAAGGTATCATCCGCCCTCTCGACCACGTCGACACTACTCCCTCTTCTTCTTGTTTTTGTCCTCTCTTATTCCCCGTCTGTTGAGCAGGAGACTGCCACTAACCTCGCAGCTACTGCCATCAATACCTGTAGCTCTTCTACCAAACCTAGTGTTCCATTTCACATTAGTTCTTTTTCCGTCCACACGCTAGATCAAATCGGCCAACAGACAGCACTGACTCACTCTTCACTCTCTTAGTATTGGTGTGTGCTGTGTTTCCGAACCACGCGTACAAGATAACTGCTTCTTGGTAAATCTTCGACTCCCTGGTTCTGAATCTGACGTCCATTGCTACACACTTCACGTCGTTAACAATGACGACTTCGTTCTAATCTTCTCACTAGACGCGATTCCGAAATTGTCACTTTACTGCTCCACAAAACTTCTAGCCTAACCGAAGGAAAAAGCAGAACACCAATGATCTTGACAAAATAACGTGTTAATCGCCGTCGACAGAACGGTGTACAACTGTCGTTATAGGTCTCTTACTGACCTTCGACTTCTGGAATTGAAAGATCAACTACCAAGGTTCCCCATAGCTTTGGCCGAGATGTCAGGTGGTTGGTAGTCACATGCAGAACTTAGAACCTTCCCGAACGTTCTAAATCGATGCGATAATCGTTACCAATAGATTAATCGTTAAAATAATGGATTTTCCAGACAATTCTTACTTTCTCCCAAGCACCCCTCTTGTGATATCATCCGAGGTATACGATGGAAGCCTAAAATTAACGTGCAGTCTTCGGGACTGTGTTCTCTGCCTTTCGGTCCATCTCCTTGGCAGAACTGCCCGAGAACTGGGTTCCGATATCCGTGGTCTGGATTCCTTGCTAGACTGTAAGCAGTCCTCCACGGCTTCCTTCGGCAAGTTGAAGCTTTCCACCAAAAACTCGAAGAAGTGGTCGGTAGACCTTGCTTGTTCTGGTTGGCACAGTGTTGGCCGTAACTGGTTTGCATGCCGTGCCCAGATCTGTGCGTCCGCAGTCACATCATACATGACATTTCCGCGCTTATTTTTGATCGTCCCTGGCGTACACTTCGCGTGGCCTTTCCGGTAGTCACGTACTGGAACTTTCTGTCCAAGTGTACACGATCGTTTCTTTGCTCCATGCCGCCGGTTAATATCCTGTTTCATTCTGCAGTTTCTTTCACCAACAGAGGATTCCGAGCGCGGCCGGATGACGTCGAGAGGCATGCGGAGCTTCCGGTTCATCGTATCCTGTGCTAGAGAAGCTCTGTCAGACGATTGTGGATTCGTTGTTAATCGATAAAGTTAGAGGAACCGGCCAACCACCTCTTCTATATGTCCCTTTCCTTTTGATTCGTGGAGAGCTCGCTTGAACGTATCTACAAACCTTTCTGCCTGGCCATTCGACTATGAGTGACGCGGCGGCAAGCGAATGTGCTGGACGGCGCATTGCTTGCAAAACTTCGTGGAAGTTGCGGAAGTGAATTGTGTGCCATTTCAGTTACAATTGTCT